TTATAAATATTATATTATATTTATTATTATATAACTTTTACCTAAATAATATTAGTTATTATTAAAATAATCCCCTTCTAAAATATTTATACTTGGCGCTTGGCTAAAAGCCTAGACTATACCGGTCGCAACTAACTTCTGAGCCGCTGTGGAGCCAACCCGTGAACGTTCAAATGTTGCCGGTTGCATTAAACTCAAATTTAGTATAGTGCTAATAGGTTAACATGTAAGACTTTTTTCTTCTTATATAAACCAGACTTATTATTAACCACGAATAACTTGCTTCGCCCCTCGCGTGACACAATTTAGAGAGAAACAGATTTATTTTAATATTTGTTTAGAAAAGTAGTCTTAAATGTCGACTTCTCCAGCGAGTTGACCTAAATCAGGACCCAAGTCCAAGGCAGCAACGCAAATACAGTGCCTAAACCAGAGGGACTATATACCAACAAGTTATTTGTGCATAAAGGTCCCAGGGGCTCTAGCAGCCGCATCCACAATCATCGCAGTTGCCTTGACCACAAGGCATGATGACATTGCAATCTTGCCAATTCGAGCAACGAAAAGCCTTGTTCCTCGGCTGCCCAGCACCACCTTCCGCTGGGGCCGCACTGTCTCCAACAGTAGCCGTTGTGGCTGCATCCATACTCTCCACCTTTCCAGCATTGACGTTCAAATATCTTCTTGTCGCCCTTTTCGCGGACGAGGCTCTCTGGATGGTTCAGACACTTGCGGACGTTGTCGGGGTTCACACCTGGGGGAAGTGTGTCTTTGTCAATTTTCATGACCCCGAGAGCGCCACATTCAGCGTCCAGATCCTCAATGCTTGCCGGTGCAGAAATTACCCCTTGGAAGTAGATGACGGCAATAGCTACTATTTTGAGGAATTGCATATTGACCAAGTTGGTTGATTTTGCCACGAGGCTAATTGTTACACGGGAATGGGCCAATGTCAAAGGTTACACAAGGGCTACAGTCACGGGACTAGGGCAAAGTTCCTCACCGACTTTTTGTATTTAAAGAGGTCTTTGGTCAACGAAGCCTTGAGGAAAACCAAGGGCCTTTGATACCAAAGACTGTTATTAGCTGAATTGAGCCAAATTGCTCTAAGCCCTCTATTGGGCCCTTGTCACACTAAATGCCAGAGCTCAAGTGGGAATAAAGATTCAGAGTAGGTGCTTTCTTCGACATTGTGAGACGGAGTATAATTCTCCGTGTAATTTTACAGGTTAAGGCTGGAATAGTTGGGTCTATTTATACTTTCCAAGACGCTGGTGACTGAAAATCAAACAAGGGAATCGCCGACACTTGTTGCCACGTGGCGGGAGCACAACCAACGGAGCCATTGTTTTATGAAAGTGACAAGCACCATCAAGGCACCTGTGAGTAGAGGGTGAAAGCTTTTTCCCGTATATAACAAGCCCTCTACTTGGATTGTGCTGTTGATAAATTCGAGTTTCTGGTGTAGAGACCGCTCGTCTTGCTTGGCCAGTATCTCAAGTCAGCGTACGCTAATGCTAGAGGTCATGAAGCTTTATTTTGTTACTTTTCTCACTCTTGCCGACTGTTCGTATTGCGAGTAACCTTGATTGATTGGAATAGAATAGGCTGTAAGTTGGCGCTGTATCTAAACGGTCTCTGAGTTCAATGTTGGAACTTGGTATGCAATATTCTTCGTCTGTTATGGCTAGCAGTCGGCTCCATTTACACCCACTGTAGTTGAATGCCTGCCTGGTTCCCTCCACTTTTTTTCCCTGTCTGAACAACGTCTGGTGCATGTGGATGCTGCCCCCAGCAGGATTATAGTGGAGTGCCGTCGCAGAAGGACCAGACCGCAAATGGCTACACATGTGCTTGATTTGGAACCAACATGCATGAGGGCTACGATGGGCAGGAATTGAGGTGGCTCGAGCCCGCAAAATTTGCAACCCTTACATGAATCTCTCAAATCCAGGTTGTAGATTTGTCCAAAATGTGTTTATTGGCTGGACATGAAAGGTGGCTGCATCCAATGCCATCGACCTTCTCCTTGTCGTTGTGGAGGGCTGGTCTACCCTGTCGCCCTGGGGGAGTTGATGGATCTGCAGGTTGGACACCGGAAATGACTTGAAATCCAACCCCGATCTCTCGGCCGCTTTTGACAATGCATGGCATAAAAGGATGCCAGGGCACCTCGTCGCCTGATATATAAATCTCGCCACTAACGGTCTTTCCTCTTTTTTTTTTTCTTTTTTTCTTTTTAGGATTTTGTTATCTCTCATGACATCTTGGTATATCGCATTAAACGGGCCGAAAAGTAACTACACAATATTATCTCGGGGCCAGTCAGAGTTGTACCACACAATAAATTTAACTTACAATCAAAGTTCTACGCTGTACCCGCGTCCGGCGCAATTATTACACTAGCAACATGGCAACAACTTATAATAATATTTCTAAAATAATACTATTTATTATTAGCGTAATATTTGCTCTGTACGTTTAACTTATTTGTTTAATAACGTGCTTACTCTTATTAGCAGAACACTGTTAAGGGCTGGTATATACATATATATTAGTGTATTAAGAAAGTATTTTACAGGTTCTTTTTAGAACACATACTGGATTAAGGGCAGGGTCACTGGGCTTGGAACAGAGGGTTCAATTCAAACTGTAATCGACTTTAGGTTATCAAAGGTCCTTGGTTTTCCGCGAGGCGCTGGGGGACGGAAGACCCCTACAAATACAAGAAGTCGGTGAGGGCTTGTGCCTGAGGCAGCCCTCGCTTGTTACCGACTTCGGGCCTCGTGACCGTTGCTTTTGTTGTTGTGTAACCGTGCGTTGACCTTTGTTGGCCCAACGCCCTTTGTTGTGTGCAACCGTGTGACAGTTACCTACGTGACGCTCGATTTTGTGTACTGCTGCGCTTGTGCCTATACTCTTGATTATTGATAAGGTAGTATTTCTCTTTAAAGTCTGCGAGTAAAGAATTTAGAACATTAAGCATAAGTCTAGGTAGAAGCCCCATCGAGGTTATTGAGGACATCGGCCAGGGAGCCTCTCGAGAGGCAGTATGGCAAGACAACTGCCGTCTTGATGGCACGGGCGCTGCGCCACTCGGCCAGCTTCTTCCATCACAACGAGCATTAAAGCATCCAAGGCTTTACGTTTGTCAACTCACACCCAAATACAGGCTGTCGGAGCCCAAAACTGCCACCCATAGAAAAGAGCGGTATTTTTCATATCCTCTCCGTCCATAACTCTTGGATATTCATCATCATCCCTTTTCTACCTTAAACTCCGAAAGTTGATGGTGCGTTGCTGTCCATCCGCCGCCCTTCATTCTCTTTCATTCCATACTAATCGATTAGTATCATCATGTCTGAAGGACTTCTGACCCAAGAACAGGCCGTTTCAGAGCTCCTGGCCTTCGTCTTTTCCGGCGCCATCGGTTCTGCCAAGGGGAAAGCCGTGGGCTACTCTCTGGTCGCTGCAAAGCCCACTGAATTTTCGTGGTGGGTGGCCTTGGAGGATATCGACGGGCCAGACGTGCCTCTTGACCGGTACTGCGTCAAACTCGACAGACGATCCAGGCAAATTTCGCCCCCCGAACCCGTCGTGCTTTCGAAAGAAGAGTTGTCGGATGCAATTCTGTCCGCCACTGGACAGCACCTAGCCTCATCTGCCAGGTTCACCGATGGTGCACTGAGCATCTCCTACAAGGTCACTGTACAAGAGACTCCAGATGTCGCCTACGTGGTACAGCTACGCCATCACGGCAATGTAGCCTCTATGGACTCGCTGATGACCTTGATATCCAAGACTGTCGACTCTCACATCTTGCCAGTGCCCCCCGTATATCCGATACCAGGAGAGGGGAGACGGCAACAGGTTACGGGCGTAGGAAGGCAGATAACACGACTAATTCCAGGCGTTGTAGCTTCAACGACGTACCCTCACCTATCTCATGACGAGAAGCTTGTTTTGTACGAAAAATGGCCCTCGCATTCCAGGCCTGCTGGAGTATCCCGATTCCGCAGCGTCTCATCGGTGAGCTTGTTTCCACCAAAGTTGGGGACGACATCATACTCAGCGTTGGACCCGATCGACATAATAGCCTCGGCGGGCCCTTTCAGTCTGTACGCGAATATCTTCAAGCTTACATCAGGGCCTCTATTGTCGCTTTGGAGAAGCAGGAAGGCATCCAAGAATACAAGGACCAGTATCTGAAGCGGATCAAGGATTTTGTTAATGACCACATGCACGAGATTCCGCCGATTGTGGAGGATGTCCCTATTGTCGCCATGCACTCTGACATGGGACCTCACAATATTATTGTGTCGAGCCAAACGCCTACGGACTTGGAGGCTGTCATTGACTGGGAATTCGTTGCAAGTGCCCCATTCGCGTCACTTCACCGGATTATTGAGATGTTGTTCCGCGAGTCGGCCGCAAATGAATTTGGCCCCGAGTATGACCGCGCCAGTGAACTTCGCGAGGCTTTCTGGGATACTATTCCCGACTGGAAATTGTGGGTTGAGAGCGAGCCTTGTCGAGTCTTCTTGGAGTGGTTTAGGTTTGGTTTGTTCATGAAGCCTGAGTGGCGGCCAGATGATCTTGCTGAGGAGGATGCACGAGAATTCTGGCGGGAAAATATTCGGGTCGTTGAAGGCATGTTGGAAAAGTATATCTAGGTAAGCAATTCGCGCTTGTTCAACCTTCAGCCGGGTAGTAAGATGCTTGAGTCTGGCTGGGAGTTTGATTTTATTGAAGGCTCAGATACGGGGAGGCATCAAGTTTGTCGGGTAGTGAGTGAGTGCCGCAAAGAAATAAGTAAATTCCATGGCTATGTCGACGAGTGACTGACCTGGCGGTAGACTGGCCCATGTGCATTGCCCGCAAATCGCCCGAGACTTGATGGCCCTCTCAGACGGCGACGCCATGTCCTTGGCCTGCGAGTTTGGCAAATCTCAGCTGTCCGGCGCCACGAATGCCCCAAAGTCACGTATCTTCTCGTTTGTGTGTAGCCAAAAGAAAGAAATGGCCGGACCACGAGCTAACTCCGCATAGGCTCTGATTAGGCCATCTGACAATGCACCGCTGGCAGACGAGGCGCTACAAAAGTCTATGCATAAGACGTATACTGACGCGTACCGACTGACCGGGTTCAAGGGTGGCAATTGGGCCTACGCGTCTAATACCAACGATGCAGTTGGTCTTTCGTGCGGGTTGCCAGAGAACAAGATGCCGCACTAGCAACGACGTCTGGGAGTATACTATTGGGGCTGGGAAAGCATTACTGTGTGAAGCGTGAACATCGTACTGCCCGGACACACATTTATTAACGTGATCTAGCTGCATCAAGATGGGACGAAGGAGGAGGCGTTTTTGGAAGAAGTTAGAAATTTGGGCCCGTGGATGGGCGCAGGGACCGGCACACGGTATGCTTTGCTAAGGAAGCATGAATAAGTGATGGCTTCGATGTTTGTGGTGGCAGACGAGCCGCGCGTCGAGAATCTTTACACCTCCCGCTGGCTTGATGGCAGATGTCGTGCAAATGCCAAACAGTTGAGTATCCCATTCACACAGACAACTTGGATCCTCAAAAGACGAATGCAAGATGCGCACATATAAACCAGATGACAACAACTGCCATGTAAAAACTTGGCAAAACCAACAAGTCTTTACGGACATGGCACTTGCGTCACCCGACACCCTGGGGCGAGCATTATACTCGGCTGATAGACCAAGTGGGCTGCTAGTTATTGCGGTTCAATGTTAGTATCCTATTTATGCCCGGCTTTGAGATGGGCCCTGGTACTTTTCGTGTCAAACATGGATAAGGTTACAATCGCCGCCGGCGTACGGTTCTTGACTGAGACGATTCCTATACACTACGCCAGGAACCTGCCGGGAGACTTTGGCCTAGAGGCTAGAGCTCATCAATGACACATGTACCATGGAGGTATGTATTAAAATGCAAAGTGTAAAGGCTAATTCATAATGGTGGAGGAGTCGTCGTATGCTATGGATATGTATATAAACTTGTTGTTCCCTGGCTCATTCACATCATGTCTCTCGTTCGGCTTTGACTTCAAGTAGCAAATCCAGAGCCCGTGACCGCTACGCCTTCAATTGGTTACATCGGCATGTTGTTGCGCGCAATTCTTACGCTCCTCGCGAGCGCCTTGAGCAGCCCCGCGTTTGCGGCGCCTGCGGGCAAGGTTCGAAGTCATAGGGTCCGGAATTTCATCTACGTCGTCCCTGATGGATTTGGGCCTGCATCGCACACCCTCTGGCGAGATTATCTCAGCCTCATCAACAAGAATGGGACGGAACTGCGGCCCAACTCGACAGCGACTGATCTCGATGGCATCGTAAGTGCACCTCCCTGGAAGATTGTGAACGGGACAAGAGTCAAAAAAAAAAAAAAAAAGCTCACACAGCATCAAGATGATTGGCACCGTGCGTACCCAGTCCTTTGATAAATTTGTTACGGATTCAGCAGCCGCGGCTACTGCTTTTGCGACTGGCCACAAGACGCATAATACAGGTCAGTCGACCAAGCCAACCACATGCTGCTCGTAACGGGCAGTGAAAGCAAGGGAGGGTTTTGCTAACTTATCACAGGGATCGGCATCGATAGCGACGTCAAACCGGTAGCATCGATCCTCGAGGCAGCACACCTCGAGGGCTTCAAGACCGGCCTCGTCGTCACGTCGCGCGTCACCCACGCCACTCCCGCTGGGTACTGCGCACACGTCATGAATAGAAGTCTGGAGGTCGAGATTGCCAGCCACCAAATTGGGCAGAAGCACCCCCTAGGATCGGTCGTGGACCTCATCATGGGCGGCGGTCGTCGCCAGTACCAGACAAAGAGGCCGGGTGGGAACAGCACAATTGACCTGATTACATGGGCCAAGGGTCAGGGCTTCTCCTACGCCGGGAATAAAAGAGAGTTGGAAGTGTTTTCGCGCGACCTGGGCAAAGTCCCCCTGCCGTTCTTGGGTCTCTTCGCCGACAACCACATGGCCTATGAGCTGGATCGTGACAATGAGAAGGAGCCGTCTCTCCTGCAAATGACGCAAACCGCAATCAAGACGCTGTCCGATGCTACCACAGCCGGTAAGGACGGTAGGGACGGTGTAAGCCGTCCCAAGGGCTTCTTTCTCATGATTGAAGCCTCGCGAATCGACCACGCAGGCCACGCCAACGACATCGCCGCGCATATCCACGACATCGCCATGTACTACCAAGTCATGTCTTTCCTGAGGAAATTCGTCACCGAAAACCCCGACACCCAGATCCTCTCGGCGGCGGACCACGAGACCGGCGGCCTGACCCTCGGCACCGGCTACAACCCTGCCATGCTGGAGAGGGCCAACCATACGTCCGAGTACCTCGAGAGGGCCTTTGCCTTGTACCAGGGCCCGGACAGAGCAACGTACTTGAGGAACGTTATTCTTCCCCAGTACGGACTTGTAAGTGCTTCTGACAAAGATGTTAAGAAATACCTTGATGTTCTCAAACGGGACGGCATCTCCGAGATGGGAAGTGTCATCAGACGTGACTTTGCGAAATCAGCCGGCATCACGTGGGCAACAGATGGCCATTCGGCCGTCGACGTCCCTCTGTACGGCTTCGCCGTTGGCGACAAGGCGTACTCGCAGATGAAGGAGTACTTGGGGCCTCACACGGATAATACCCAGTTGGCACTGTACATGGAGTCGGCGCTTGGTGTCAACCTAAACAAGGCTACGGAAGCTCTGAGGGAGAACTGGGTCAAGTTTGAGGGGTATGGCGGCAAAGGGGGGAGATGACGAGAATGCGGAGGCTCACCTAATTCTAATTGAGAACCAGGGGATGTTTATGCCAGACGAAAGAGGGATTCGTGAACATGGTGGACATTTATATCATGGGTTGATTTTGTGACCATCCTGGATTATCTTGTACCATGCTAGTCTTAATTGCCGCGATACGTGGAATCGACATGTTAGCAACGACTTCTGGTAACGACGTAATGGTTCAATCTGCTCCCTGCATTGCAGACTAGAGTGAGATGTATGAAATAGCACGCCATGAAATGAGCCCAGCCACGCAGGGATGGGCCGTTCCTGCCACATCTGGGCCAAATAAAACGCAGCAGGGGCGCGGGTCTTCTCAAGATTCTCATAGAAGTATCCGTTATATGCCGTCCTCGGTACGGCATGGTGCAAGAAGTGACTTGATGTAAAGCTGGATATCGGGGATATTCGGCAATGGGCCTCTATTACTGGATCTTGGTGCTCCGTGGCTCCGTGGTCAAACCTCATGACCATGGGAACTGGTCGGGCATTTGATCAGGCCAAGTTGTTGCAATCACCTTGATGAACTCTTGGTAAAAGATTCTGTATGCCTCTAGTGTGGCGTGCAGTCCTCTGCAACGGGCATTAGCTGAGTTGTGACCCTCTATCATGTCAAGCATGACCTACCGTCGTGTATTACCTACCGTCGTGTATTAGGGCTCCAATGGCGTCACTCCCAGGCAAGTCTTGAGAACCGTAGATGGGGTCACCGGTTTGCCAACCGGCCTCGGACATGAAGGCAGTCCAGGGATCAACGCAGCTAACATTCATCTATTTGGCAATCTCCCCACATGCATTGGCGTACTGCTTCGTGACGACTTTTCAGCTTCAAGTAGCCTCGACTCTTGACGCAATGATCCAGACGTCTCTCCTCTATTAACGGCGGGATCACTAGCAGAAGCCGAGGGTTGTGAGCCTCAAGGGCAGGTGAGTGAGGAGCTTGACTAGGTTCTTCTTGTACCGGTCCAGTGGCACATGCTCTCCATTCTCAGCGTCCGAGAAGCAGGCGTCGTTGGATCCGAAAATGATAGCCTGGCAACTCCTTTGTTAGCGACACTGCATACTAGAACGTTATTAGCAAGACGTACCATGAAACGGGCGCCGGTTTGTTGGGGATCTGACATGATCTTGGGCAACACCTTTAAACCTTGCTCGGTGCCAAGTGGTTGTTGCATATTGCATGGAGAAGCGGGGCCCTTGATCGAAGACAGATGATAGCGGCCTTGTCGTCCTTGTCGGAAAAGTCGCAGGAACATGCTGAATGTAGCTTAGCCGTTGCCGCTTAGCGGTTGATTAAAGTTTTAGTACTCGGTCTCTCGCAGGGAATTCGGCGCATGAGTGGAGAATATAACGGAGCACCAAGCGGAGAACGGCACTGGAAGCCACAGTAGTAATAAATTCTACAGTCACATTTCGGGCCGGCCCTCATCCGCGATTGGCCGCTGACACTGCGAGCCAATTACGACTGACGGACGCATTCAGCGGGAATCACGCCTCGATCCTCCCGTCTGGAAGCCACAATAACGACTTGACGCCTTTGTCAACATTGACTTCATCCCGCAGTGCTAGCCCGATGCCAACGTGAGCCCCTGTCATAGGTGTAATTTGTAAAAAATGCCGCACAATGTCGCCGAGTTTGTAACTTTTGACACTGTTGTATTTCAGGCCCCCTAGGCTGCGGCTGAATTCAATGGTTTTTAGCCGAAGCTGCTAGATGGTCAGCGATGATGGTTTCTTTTTCGGTTTCCCCTACCGGGTACCGCCTGCGGGCCGACTGTATGAGGTTGAATATAAGACTAGCCAAAAGGTCAAGCTGCCAAAAGGCGTCCATTGTATTTTATTCTTTATTTCTTTCCTATGCCCATCGGCCAACCTACACCTCTTCATTCTCCCAATCCTTCTCCTCAAACATTGGTTCTTTCCGCACGCCGCTGACTTCAAGCTTCTCCAAAAACTCGGCGGGAACCGAGGGAATGTATTTCCTCTCCCGCTCCCTGTTGACGCCCCCAAATCCTGCGCCGTACGAAACTAGCATGTCCGTGACGGATGGCAGCGTAAACGGTAGCATCATCGCAGGGTCCATGAGCAAGTGTTCGGGTGCGTCTTCCTCCTCGTCCGACGCGTCGTTGGCGTCGGGGTTGCGCGCACTTGCCACGCTTCCGGGGGTGTCGAGCAGATTGCCGCTGTTTGATCTGCCCTTGACCGGTGTCGTGGGGCTGCTGCTGGCATCTGGGCCCGATTTGGGCAGCGGTGATGCCGCCCGGCTGCGGCGCCTGTCCCGCTTGAGTGCAGCTTCCTTTTGAATCGCCACCAGATACTTCATTGCGCTTTTGGGGAGGCCCTTTTCGCCGACTTCTGGCCGGTAGTGGGTGGCTGCGTGTATGAGCTGCTGTGGTGTGAGCCGTTTCAGCTGTTGAAGAGTGCCCACGAGGGCTTCCAGGTCGTCTGCGTCAAGCGATGAGAAGCACTGGAGCCACTGGAGTAGCTGGATGACGGGCGCGAGAAAACGCCGAGCGGCATCCATGACCGTCTCCCCAGAGGCCCTCGTGTCGCCGCCTTCGTAGTGCTCCGCCTGTCGATTATTCGTTCGCGCCCAGTCCTCGAGGATGGATACGTTCATGCGAATTTGCATGGCCTTGGTTCGTGCCAGGTACTTTCGGTTGGACATGATTCTGTTGAAAAGCTCTGCGCCAAGCCAGTACAGTAGTTGCGAAACAATCTGTGCCGTGATGACTGAGTGGATGTCGTAGAGGTCCAGTACGAAGAGCGTCGAGGAAAGAAGCGATGTGACGTTTCGAGGCGCTGGCTTTGCGCGCTGCTTGGGCGAGGGCGGCCTGAATCTCTTTTCCAAGGGCTCCTCCTTGACTGTTTGTTTCCGCTTGAAGAGCTTCCATTCGTTCTGAAAAGTAATGTCCTCGAAGCCCGGGATCGTTTCGTGGTCGAGCATGGCGGCATCCAATACCTTGTCGAGGCGTCTTTCGGCGTCGCGGACAATCAGGATAAAAATCTCATTGATGAGCTCGGCGAGGTGCGCTTGAAACTCGGCCGTCGCCTCAACGAGGCCCGCATCCTTTTTCAGGTAGTGCAACAACAGCGTGGCGTTGGAGATCCAGAACGCCAGTATCGTCATGTCCCACTGACACCTCTCGACCACGCCATTAATCAAATCCATTGCCGTGACGAGCAGCTTCTCCAGCAACTCGGAGCTGGCATGGTAATGCGCGTATCTCGCGCTGAGGAATATCATGTTGGCCGGCACGGGCTTTTGTGTCGGCGAGCGCTGGGGTGTCATCTTGGTGATGATGATGTCGAGTATCCGGTCGAGCTCGTGTTCTTGAAAGACAAACATTTGGTCGTGCAAGCAGCGGCTCCAGTCGAACTCTTGCTGTTCCTCCTCAAACTCGTCGGCCGGCTAGCCGCAACGTCAGCACAGGAAAACACACGCCCCTAACAACTTTCCGGTATTATACGCACCTCGGGCTGGTCGTCGATTCCCACATTGCCCAAATCAACCTCCAAGTCTCTGGCACTGTCCATCATCAACCTCCTGCGCAACTCATTCTCTGCCATTTCCTCTTCGAACCGGTCCTGGGAGAAGCCCGGGTTGTAAAAGTCATCACCCATTCCGGCGTTTCCGATATTGTAGCCGTTGTCGTGCAGATAAAAGGACATGTCGCTGTCGGGGGGGACAAAGTCGAAGGCTGTTCGGCCAGAGGAAGTCTTCTGGTCAGACGATGCTCCATTATCCAGGAGTAGTTTTGCGATTCCCTTGTGTCGGTTCGTCATGGCCCACATCAGAGCGCTCCATTGATTCCGGTCCTGCCTATTGACGTCGGCTCCAGCGTCGATGAGGGCCTTGACGACGCTTTCGTGTCCCTATTCAGGCATTAGGCCATTATCGTCATCGTCGTCATTTAGACGCCGGAAAAGAAAACTCTACTCACAAAGCAACTCGCGTAAATCAAAGGGGGTGTCCCATCCTCGTCGGCGGCGTTGACATCGATTAAGGGCTGGCCGTTTCCACCAAGCAGCCTCTTGACTTTGCCCACGTCGCCATTGCTAGCTGCCATGATCATTGCCTTTTGTAGCATGTCCTTCTTTTCAGATTCAGACAACTTGTCGTCATTGAGAATAGTTTGTTCATCCTCGAGTCCGTGGCCGGCCTGATGAGCTGCTGCTTGGGCTTGCAACATCTCCATGAGTCGCGTGTCACTATCCTTGGGAGGTTTGGGAATATCTCGCTCATAGTCGGCGTCGTCATTCAGGGACAGGTTCCCGAAATTTAATGGTTTCGCCAACGCCGGCGTTGTGAGAAACTGGGATTGACCTTGAAAGGGTGTCAGACATTGACCGTCGGCGCGCCAGCCCTCACTGTGGCTCGCTTTGAAGGCTCCTAGGTCTACTCACCTTGCCAGCCATCGTACATCTCGGTCTCGGGGATGTAGTCTTCCATCGGAGCATGTCTTCGGTCGTCTAGGGACGTCGGAAGGTCGGCGGGCATGGCTCGTGGCTTGGGTTCGCCATTATTGCTCAGGTGCTCCGAGTCCATGGCGGAAGGAGGGGCAAGACCACACTCGGCAGCTCATGGAACTTGGGCTGCCCTTGATGACAGTCAGACGGCGCAGCACTGTGGGGATGGAGAGGGACAAAGAAAACTGCTGGTAATAGGCTGGGAGTCGTCATGAGCTGTCCCGTGTCAGGGAGGCTGTTTCGCGAGCCGTCGTCGTGTGATGTGTTGGGAGAGAATGGAGCCGGTCAGATCAGGTGTCTGTCTGCAAGGAACCGATGGGTTGAGTTGAAAGGTGAGTTGCGGCACGTCGTCATTTAGCTGGCTTGGCTCGCCTGAAAGTTGGTCCGTGCGCCGCCCGAGCTCAAGGAGACAAAGCCAAAACAGCACAACCGCACAATGCAGGCTTCAAATGTTGCCCTTGCCACCTTCTCAGGCTTCGTACATGATCCCGAGGTAACATAGCATTGAGCCCACAATCTAGGGAGTACATGCACTGATGCAGCGTGCACATATCACGCTCGGGTGAAAAGGCCGATGTGTTGGAGCGTTTTTTAATGTGCCTGTTCGATCAGTGCGGAGTCGTAGTATCTTCCTCGTCGGAACCCCGTCTCCTTAATCCATGCATCGACTTTAGGACACGTGAACTACGCTCCAAGTATGGATTTCGACCATCATTTTGTGGGCATAATTGTCGGTCCTTCATACCGACCTCATTTCGTCAATCGCGCGGAGCAAATAAAGGGACTGGATACTTACCAATGTCCACTAAAGCTGATAATATGGCTATTAGAAAAGACCGGAGGGTTGCTGGATAGCCCAACAAAGGCGGCCGGCACCTACAAAGTGAGTACCACACTCGGTTTGCTTTCTTTTTGTATCCATTTCCCGTCACTTGTCTCTATACGCACCTCCTTTCATTTCAATCAAAGGCAAAAGGTACGTGCTCCCCAGCTTAGAACAAGCAGAATAATCACCACATGTCCACCCTCGCAATCAGCACCTCCAGGCGGCGCGCTTGACACTACTATTGGGGAGCATGGGGAGCCTGAGTTGCGTAAAAGTAGTGTCCTGCCCCCCCCCCCCCCGGGGCCCGGGTCCTTGGGGCTACCCTGGATCGGATCCCGGGGCCGGTTCGTGATGGGTGCCGGGGCCGGAAAGCACCCGAGGCTGACGGCCGCCGAGCCCGGGGTTGCTCCAGACTTGGTACTGTTGGAAAACTTGGTTCCGTGGGTGGATGGCTTTTGAACTGAGGGCTGTTTTCTGGGTCGCGGAGGATCTTATGGCCTGGTTTGCCGAGACGTGCCAGATAATACTTGGGCATATGCATTACTTACCATCGAATCATGCTCGATCCAGTACGGAGTACTCGTGGGGTAACCGATACGTACTTGAGTACTTATGAAGCCAGTTTGCGGAGCGGGGATGTTGACTGCCACCCTTAGTGCCTCTAGCTGATGGGAGAGAGGAGTAAATAGTATTAATGGTACGGAGTACTAGTCAGGCACCTAACAAGGGGACAGCAGAAATACCGGACACTCTGCCTACGTGAGTGAGTGGTGCGTGTTTGGTTTTTCTGTCACCCGCGTGCCTGAGGTGACTACCCTCGATGGATCGGGAAGAGAGGGTAAATTCAGCACCCAGCCTGTCTGCGGAGTAGGCACCAGTGACCCTACATCTAGGTAGTACCTTCCTCGCACCACGGAGTACGGAGTACCAAGTTACATTATCCAAGTCTGACGTGATTGC